ATTAAAATTCAAACAATGCTGGGCATATAATGGCACATGCCTGTAATCCCAACACTTGGAAGGCTGAGGCAGGTAGATCGCTGCAAGTTTGAGCCTGGGCTACAAAGTAAGCTCAAGCCCAGCCTGAACTGCACAGTGAGACCCCATCTCAAAAAGAAAAAACAAAACAAAACAAACAAAAAAAACTCACCAAAAAATCTATCATATTGCTGGTGGGAATGTAAACTAGGATAACTAGTATGGAAATCTGTATGGAGATTTCTTAAAGAATTAAAAATTCCATGAGACCCAGTTATTCCTCTGCTAGGTACCTTCTTGTATACCAATGTTCATAGCAGCACAATTCGTAGTAGCTAAATCCTACAAGCAGCCTATATACCCATCGCCTGATGGGTAAACAAAATGTGCTATCTATATATAATTATTCTGCTCTAATAAAGTAGGACAGATTTGAGGCAATCATAGGACAATGGATGCACCTAGAAAATATATATTGAGTGAAATAAGCCAGACACACAACCTTAAATAAAATATGATATGTGTCGTTTGAATGAGGCAAAGTACAAACAAACAAAATGATAAAGGGTGGATAGAAAGAGACAAGGGGACAGAGCTCCTCCAATAGGGAAGAGGTCCAAGAGAACAAGGGTGAGGGTGAAAAGGAGAGGAAAGGAAAGGAAAGGAATAGAGCTGTGTCATGCACAGAATCTTTTTTTTTCCAATTTTTTTTTTTTTTTTTTGTGTGTGTGTGTGTGTGTGTGTGTGTAGAGTCTCACTACACAGCATAGACTTGTAGTGACTCTCCTGATTTCTGCCTCCCTAGTGCTAGGATTACAGGCACGTGCCACGAAGCCCAGACTCCATCACCGGCTCAGCTAGCCCCTGCACTTTTTTTTTTTTTTTTTTTTAGTACAGGGTCTACAGGGTCTCACTGCATAGACTGGACTTGTAGTGATCTACCTATTTTCAGCCTCCTAATAGCTGGGATTACAGGTGCACACCACCATGCCCAGGCTCCACCCCAACCAATTTAAACATCATATGGCATAACATGAGGTAAGAAAAACTGCATCAACAAGTATGGAAAAGGTGATAAGGGAACTGGAGAGTATGGGAAGGGGTCAGGAGGGAAAGGGGGTTAGAAAACGAAAACAAGCTATAATGTATACATGTAATAACCATTTCCCAAGATGATTGTAAACTGCATGAATTGCAAGTATGTACTAATAAAACAGAATTTTTTAAAAAGCAAATGTAAATAAGTACATAAATTAAAAAAATTACAAATCTCTTCCACAAGCAAAACCCACCAATTACAATTTCTATTATGGTTTGACAGTAAATGAGCTTAAAACATTACAAACTGCAAACCTGTACTGTGTGAGGCCTTTGAAGCTAGGCAAGGCAGCCCACGCTTGACTGGATTCTACTGCAAGGCCTAGAACAACAGTCTTAGGACCAACTCTTATCCCTTCCTAGCAGCGCTTACCACATGCCACTCTCGGCTTGTACCAAGAAAGCTGGACCTGGAAAGGATGTGCACAGGTGCCCAGGTGACTGGGCGAAGGCAATGCCTTCAGGAGGGAGCCGGGAGGGACCAGCTTAGCCCATCCTGGACTAACAGCAAACTCGGCCCTCAGCCCTCCTCCACCCAGACGTTGGAGCTCTACACAAAGACTAATCCAACCTTCCCAGCCTTCAGGCTTCTTTTAGGAATTTTGTGTGTGTGTGTGTGTGTGTGTGTGTGTGTGTGTGTGTGTTTTGCTCCTTGAATGCCTTCAGGGCACTTTTGCATGGCTGGAGTGTTGTGGGGATCGAACTACAGCAAACTGAGGCTGCCAGCATTGTGGAAACAGTCACTTAAAGAACTGAGCTAGGGCTGGGCCCCCCTTCAGGCTTCTTTTAAAAGGGAGAAATCCCTATTTTACTGAAGATACACAAAGGCAGACATGGAGAGGCTCCTATTATACAGGTCAGTATTCAATTAGAAAAATCTTAACGACAATTTTGTATTGAAGAAAATTAAACGAGGTATGGCTTAAGCAGAGAAAATTCAGCTGTAGACAAAACCCAAGAGATGTACTATCAGTTAAAGAAAGAGAAGGGCCCTCCTAGGTATCTTCCCAAAGAGCTAAAAGCATCACACCTCAGCAATATATTCATTTCCATGTTTATAGCACCACAATTTATAATAGTTAGATCTTGGAAACAGCCCATGTACCCATCAACAGATGAAAGAAAATCCGGCATTTATAGACAATGGAGTATTATTTTTCATTAAGAGTGGTGTGCTGGGCTGTGGAGATAGCTCAGCAGCGTAAGCTCCTGCCTGGCAAGCACAAGGTCCTGAGTTCAACCCCAGGTACCACACACACACACACAGAAGAGTGGTGGTGCACACCTGACATCCCAGCACTTGGGAGGCTGAGGCAAAAGGATCACCATTAGTTTGAGGCCAGCCTGGGCTACATAAGTGAGTTCAAGGCCAATCAGTCCTACATAGCAAGACCCTATCTCAAAAAACCAAACCAAAACGAAGGATGAATCTGAAACATTTTAGGTTAATGCATTCATTTTAACCCCATCTTAAGTGAAATAAATCAGAAATACAAGGTTAAATATGGCGAGGGCTGGGGAAATGGCTTGGTAGAATAAGCACTTGCCTGGCAAGTGCAAGGGCCCGAGTTCAATCCCCAGTTCTGCCAAAAACAAAAATAAATAAATAAATAAATAAACAAACAAGATTAAATATGGCAATGTTACTCTTGTGTGAGGAGCCCAAAGGGTAAATAAAGAGTATAATGGAGCACAGATACTGGGAAGTAGGAAGAACATGCACACATGGGAGGGAAACAAGGAAGGGGAGCAGGAAATGGAAGAAAAGGAAAAGGAATTGACTGATTGAAAAGCGGTCTCTGGGCCAGGGAGATGGCTCAATAGAATAAGTGCTTCCCTGGCAAGCACAAGGGCCTGAGTTCAATCCCTGGTTCCGCCAAAAAAAAGAAAAGCCGTCTCTCCAGGTAGTCCATGCTGGCCTTTAAACTCACTATGTAGCCCCGGCTGGCCTCAAACCAGCTTTAGCCTACCTGGAAAAGGTACATTTTAAAGAAAGAATAAAAGAGAAAAAATGAAAACAGAGCTTTTGTAAATGGGAAAGGGAAGAGAAGTTAAAGGGAAGGGAAGAGAATGGGGAAAAAAAACAAGGTATAATGTGTAAAGGTACAAATTCCCCATGATTAATGTGATCATTAGGTATGGCAAACATGTACTAATACTTTAAAATAAATTGAAGCTGGCCAGACAGCTCAGCAGACTAAAGTGCCTGCTTAGGCACAGCGCAGCAGCCAGGGCTCAATCCCTAGCAGGCGGTGCAGGTCCTGCCCCAGGTCGCGCTGAGATGGTGACTGAGACTGGGTGTGGTGGTGCACGCCTGTAACTGCAGCACCAGGGAGGCTGAAAACAGGAGAATCACTAGGAGTCTGATCTAAGTGGGACCCTATAAACCCTGCACTAAATAAACAAAAATAAAAAGTAAACGCCCAACTTCTAACAAAATAAATAAATAAATTTAAAAAGTCTCTGGGATGGAATGTACAAGAGAAAACAAAAGACACAAAAGGAAAGGGTGCAGAAACCCTGGACCACCTTGTCCTGTGAGCTCCCTTCTCCCCTCACAAGACTTGGCAGCCCCTAAGAAATAAAGGTCATTTCTAGGAAGCAGCCAGTTCAGAAGAAAACTCCTGCCTTTTCCCCATGGCCAGCTGTAGAGCAGCGGGTCGCCTCCTCATCAGGAGCCTCCCTCCTCCATCTCAGCAGCACTCGCAGGCATCTCATGTGGAGGAAGTCACCCGTGCCCTCAACAGCTACCATAGCTACTACTTGTGGGCTGTCCCTGGGCAATCATACAGCTGCCAACATCATTTACCAAGGGCTTGCTTCTCTCCAGCAACTTTCACTGCAGGAAAGCTACTCAGCAGAGATCTCGTACCGGGGCCCAGATAATGGAGCCGCTGACCGTCAGCTTGCCGACGGAGAGTGATGAACAGCTTGGGCCCCACACAGCTGCGCAGACATGGCCACACATTTCCTCTGGGAATCCCGAGAAGTGGCCTCTGAGTGCCCCCCGCCCCCTGCAACTGATCCAGGTTTCTCATTGCTGAAGATGATTTCCTTAGGCTTAGTTAACCTTAATCTCACTGCCGTTTCCTCTAGAATCTCATGGTTATAAACAAAGCCTCATCAACTTACAACACTACCTTTAAACTGACCAACAAGAGTACTGCCTTGTACTAACAGATGGACCTTGTTATACAGCCTTGGAGTTCTGCTCCAGCAAACACAATCACTGGTACTCTCAGGAGTCATCACTGTTACAGGAAGAGGATAAGGAAAACAGCAAGGGACTGGGGAAGTAGCTTACTGGCAGAAAACCTCTGGGTTTGACCCCTTCTACCACAGGAAATAAAACTTTCTCTGCTGATTTGACAGGAAAGAAGAGAAACATTATCTAATTTTTCTGTTCTATGCAAACAAATTTTCATGGCTGTAGGAAGCACGTGAGAACATAAATATCCCAGGGATTCACAAATAAACAATACACTGAAAGATGCGCTCAGGTCGGGGAAATCTTTCCAAATATTCCACGTATTTTCTGTGCGAGCACAAAAACACTACTCAGAGGTAGAAAGCAGTAGCAGAAACTACCCTGGGGTAGGTGATAAGCATTTTTATCCATCTGCAAGCTCTCTCCTCCACTAAGAACACAAATGAGCAATTACCTTTCCTGAATTGCCGTGCAGCCATTCTACCCTTCAGGGAACGGGGCACGCCACACTCCTAACTCCGGGGCATCACCATCTCACTCCCACACACCTTTCTCACAGAGAATGCCCGATGCTCCAGCATGCAAGGCTGTGGATGGCTCTGGTGTCTGACATGACACACGCACCCTCTCTTGAAGGGGCAACGGTCAGTGCCCTTCTCACAGAAGGCATACTCACTTGCCAGGGCCTTCTTCCCAGCTGCGTGGTAGGCTACAATGTATCGCCTCCCTTCTCTGTCCTCTGTTTTTGTCTCTAGTCCAGGAAATAGAGATTTTATGGCTTGATGGATGACGGTTCTTTTCTCTTTGGTGTCCTCAATAACCTATTAAAACACACAATGACACTTTCACTTTAACAAACATTAAATAGAGAAAACAGTGGATTAATAAAAACATAGCTCATCTTATTCAGTAAATAGAATGAAAGAAGTGCCTGAGTATAGTTGCAGCTTATTTTAGAGCTTCACTGTATGGCAAACTCCAAGGGTCCATTAATTATGCATGTCCATCTGTCAGTCCCTGTACCAAATACTTGACAGACACCGTTGTACTGAATCTTCATAATCTCTGTCCCACCACTGATGTATCTATTTACAGACAAGAACAGCAGGGCTAAGAGGTCATGGGATGTGTCTAGGGCTGCAGAGCTGGAAGAAGAGCTGGATTTGAAGTCAGGCTGTTGGACACAGCTACAGATGTTCTTTT